CTTTGTAAATATTCGTAAGTTTCTTGTGACGGCCAGAGCAATCTCGTGACGCTGATCCTGTGTTATACAAAATGCACAACGGTTACAACAACCATCAACGTTTCAAAGTACTCAACGTAGAAATTTTGCATGGGTAAATTCTAAGTTTTGAAGGATTGATAAGAAATGTTCTGGCTTTCGAAAACGGAGTTCTGGCTTTTAAAAAGGTAGTTCTGGCATTTCAAAACGGATTTTTGGCATTTGAAAACTGAGTTTTGGCATTTGAAAACTGAGTTTTGGCATTTGAAAACTGAGTTTTGGCTTTTGAAAACGGAGTTCTGGCATTTGTAAAGGGAGTTCTGGCTTTTGAAAACTGAGTTTTGGCATTTGAAAACTGAGTTTTGGCATTTGAAAACTGAGTTTTGGCATTTGAAAACTGAGTTTTGGCTTTTGAAAACGGAGTTTTGGCATTTGAAAAGGGAGTTCTGGCTTTTGAAAACTGAGTTTTGGCATTTGAAAACTGAGTTTTGGCATTTGAAAACGGAGTTCTGGCATTTGTAAACGGAGTTCTGGCATTTTAAAACGGAGTTCTTGCATTTGAAAACGGAGTTTTGGCTTTTGAAAACGGAGTTCTGGCATTTCAAAACGGAGTTCTGGCATTTGAAAACTGAGTTTTGGCTTTAGAAAACGGAGTTCTGGCATTTGAAAACTGAGTTTTGGCTTTTGAAAACTGAGTTGTGGCTTTTGAAAACGGAGTTCTGGCGTTTCAAAACGGAGTTCTTATGAGAAAAAAGTAGTACAATTTAGTTCCACTTGCCTCTCTGACAATGCGAAGAACTTTACTCAAAAACCGTTTTCCCTTTCTAACCGACAACATTTGTAGAACTGTTTCATCATTGTGTCTAAAAAATGACAAAGATTATTACAATCCACAACGCTCATTTACAATATTTCATAAGAAATCATTCAACTATAGCAAGGGAATACTAAGCTGATCGACAAGTCAAACAAAATCACAAGCTAACTTTATTTATACTGAATAGCTCTATCATGCAGTTCTAAACTGTTATCCCTAGGGTTCAGTAAGAATCATCTCTTATTGATCCAGTGTAACTATAGGAGGAAACCTAAACTAAACTAACTTTATATATACTGGATAGCTCTATCAATTCTAAACTCTGAGTGTATATCCACACCGGGCAGGCTTGAAAAATATGCCTGGCCACGGCGGGATCCCGCCGTGGCCAAGCATATTTTTCAAGCCTGCCCGGTGTGGATATACACTCAGAGTAACATCACACAAACATCTTATTCACCTGAGTACATTACACCAACACAGCAGATTTCAATTCTAAACTGTTCTTCCTAGAGGTCCAGTAAGGATCTTCTCTTATTGATCCAGTGTAACTACAGGAGGAAACCTAAATTAAACTAACTTTATTTATACTGGATAACTCTATCAATTCTAAACTGTTCTTCCTAGAGGTCCAGTAAGGATCATCGCTTATTGATCCAGCTTTACTACAGGAGGAAACCTAAACTAAACTAACTTTATTTATACTGGATAGCTCTATCAATTCTAAACTGTTCCTCCTAGAGGTCCAGTAGGGATCAGATCATCTCTTATTGATCTATTCGGTTAATACTACAGGAAAACGTAATAACACTTACTTTTTATTAGAATCTTTTTGAGGTTTTAAATTCAGCAAATCAAAACAACGTTGACATAATCTCTCCCGCCTCTCACGTAGTTGTGGTCTAAAGGTAGAACAATTCTATTCAGTAATTCTGCAAATTTGTTGCAAGGAAGGGAAATAGATCATCTTGGCCTGAGTCGGTTGTTCAAACCTGGATCAACGCTAAACCATGTTTTAGTTTATGCATTTCTGCACGTCTGTTTATTTCAAAACATCACAACTCCTACAGACAAGACTTCCGAAGAAATAGTTCCAAATTTATAAACAAGCTCTTGGGAAATTTGCTTTGAATTTTACGTTAACCTTGGGTTAAGTTGATCAGCTTGCAGTGCTTGCGAACAATGACCAGCCCCTGGTCCACATCTCTTCTTCTCGTAACTTACCGAATGTCATGTGGTACTTGAAGGGCCATGCGTTCCAGGTCTTCTATTGGGAGTATTTGATCAAATCCCTAAAATTAATAAATACGTTCTTTTAAACTCACGCGATATAAAACCCGAATTCCAAACGGACAAAGTTCCATTTTGAATTTTTTTCTTCGGAAGTAATTGACAGCGAACTGACCTTTTCAATTGTTAACAGCAATTGATATTTCTTTTTTGTTTCCTTCAATGAGCCAACCTAGGATAAAAAGTAAAAAATAAGAGACGATCCTTACTGGACCTCTAGGAAGAATAGCTTATAACTGATAGAGCTATCCAGTATAAATAAAGTTAGTTTAGTTTAGGTTTCCTCCTGTAGTAACACTGAATCAATAAGAGATGATCCTTACTGGACCTCTAGGAAGAACAGTTTAGAACTGATAGAGCTATCCAGTATAAATAAAGTTAGTTTAGTTTAGGTTTCCTCCTGTAGTAACACTTGATCAATAAGAGATGATCCTTACTGGACCTCTAGGAAGAACAGTTTAGATCCGATAGAGCTATCCAGTATATAAATAAAGATACTTACTGGTCCTTTAGGTTTTCCAGAATCACCAACCTGAACAACTTCACGAGGGTGGAAGACTGAGCCAACGGAAACCTGACCGAGGGATCCTTCAAACTTTGCTAGATGAAAGAAAGACAGCATGTCACACACCCTGAACATTTTTAAATCTAAACTCTCATGACATTTCCTAGATTCCGAGGAATATATTTGACTGGCAGAAACCTAAACCTGATCACCCACAAGTTCAGTATGTTTAAGTTAAAAGTTTCGTTTTATTACGAGGCGATTTTTTTCAATGTTGAAAGTGTTCAGAACCTAAACTCTTAAATTACTTGCTTTGTTTTAGATTTATTTTGTAGTTTACACAGTTAGTAACCTTTTTAAATTTTACTTTTGCAATTTTACTAATTTCATCATGTTCTTTTTAGCTGTGGTGTTTGATTCCCTTCTCTTTACTTAGATTAAAATTTAGTCTAATATGCAAGTTGTCCATTTCCTTACTTGGTTTGTAATTATGGTCCCCTTTGGTCACGTGAGGTAACGTCATTTCAATATCTTTGTTGGTATGGTTTGTCTCCAGTTCCACTCCAGTTGTATTTCGAGATCTTTCTTTAGCCAAACGACGCCTTTCGAATGTCTAAATACGGAAAGAAGAAATTCTGGATTCTGAGCATCGACCGTCTGGCGGGAATTGAACCTGCGGTCCTGTGATTCCCGTGCAGTGCTCTAACCAACTGAGCTACAGAGAGACAGTTGTCGAGCTCTAACCAACTGAGCTACAGAGAGACAGTTGTTGAGCTCTAACCAACTGAGCTACAGAGAGACAGTTGTTGAGCTCTAACCAACTGAGCTACAGAGAGACAGTTGTTGAGCTCTAACCAACTGAGCTACAAAGAGACAGTTGTTGAGCTCTAACCAACTGAGCTACAGAGAGACAGTTGTTGAGCTCTAACCAACTGAGCTACAGAGAGACAGTTGTCGAGCTCTAACCAACTGAGCTACAGAGAGACAGTTGTCGAGCTCTAACCAACTGAGCTACAGAGAGACAGTTGTCGAGCTCTAACCAACTGAGCTACAGAGAGACAGTTGTCGATCTCTAACCAACTGAGCTACAGAGAGACAGTTGTCGAGCTCTAACCAACTGAGCTACAGAGAGACAGTTGTCGAGCTCTAACCAACTGAGCTACAGAGAGACAGTTGTCGAGCTCTAACCAACTGAGCTACAGAGAAACAGTTGTCGAGCTCTAACCAACTGAGCTACAGAGAGACAGTTGTCGAGCTCTAACCAACTGAGCTACAGAGAGACAGTTGTCGAACTGTAACAACAAGTTCATGTATAAACACTAAGGTACTGTCATGTATAGGTTATGGGTAAATATCAAGATTTTGTTGGAAAGTATTTTTGGAGGTTTTGTCATAAATGTATAAAAAGTCCACCTCAAATTTACATCTGCAATTCCCTATAACAATTAGTTATATGGAGTGAGATTGCCCAAAATCCTCTCATATGTTTGAACGTCACCGTAAAGGTCCATTACCATTCAGGAAAATTTTCCGCAGAAAGAAAATTTTGTAAATTTTGTGATTGGCCGAGACAAATTTTCCGTCGGAAAAAAATTTTGAAATTGAAAATTTTCAACTTTTAACAATGACATTTTCGGAAAATGTTCTGTCCGTGGAAATTTTTCTTGAGTGGAAATGGGTCTGATGAAAGTTGTGCATCGACTTACATGAAAATAATAATCATCGAGTTCCGGTTTATCACTGGTCAGCTGCATCAATTGTATCCTGATTATCCAATCTTTCTCCTTCGCGGTCATCAATGTCCCTGATTCACCCTCGTCATCCTCGTAGCTACCCACATAATATTGTGGAACATATTTAAAAGTTGGGGACTCCGAGTAATTTTGCTGACGTCTACGGTTGTCATAGTTGCGACCACCACGCGTGTTATTCCACGTGTTGCGTGGTTGTGGGGTCATGAAACGACCATGTTGATGTGGAATGTTCATAGGTGGGCCACGCTGTCTCAGATGACCTAAGGGTTTTAAAAGGAAATTCAAATATATGAGTAGGGGTGCATTGTTGACAAAGCTGTAAGATTTTTACCCGGTTGTAAAGGCAAACTCCAATAGACCTTTCCCCTTTTGAGAGACATTTTGATCTAGACAAGTCTGGACAAAAATTTCATCACAGCTTGAAAGAGCATCACAAAATTAGTAATATTTCGAAGTTTCGTTGCGAAATGTTGTAAAATGCGGAAAATATATCATTGCGAAGTTTGCCGTTTTTCAGCCATTTTGCATTACAAATGGGAAATTGATAATCAGATGATCAAACTGATTATCAATTTCCCATTTGTAATACAAAATGACTGAAAACTGCAAACTTCGCAAGGCTATATTATCCGCATTTTACAACATTTCGCAACGAAACTCCGGAATATTACTAATTTTGTGATGCTCTTTCAAGCTGTGATGAAATTTTTGTCCAGACTTGTTTAGATCAAAATTTTGTCTATAATGCAAATGGTCCATTCTAAGTCTTTTCCATCTCATTCATTCGATCACATTTGTCAAGAGGAGAAACACCGCCGACAAAATAGACAACTTGCATGTTCGACTAATTTTTGATTTGGGCAAAGAAAAGTAAATTCCCGTAAAGAACTTATTAAAATTAGTAAAATTGCAAAATTTGGTTACGAAATATTGTAAAATACAGAAAATATAGCCTTGCGAAGTTTGCATATTTTCAGTATGTTTGTATTACGTGCGGAAATTGTTACCATTTTTGAGCCGAAAATAGTAACAATTTCCGCACGTAATACAAATATACTGAAAATATACAAACTCCGCAAGGCTATATTTTCTGTATTTTACAACATTTCGCAACCAAATTTTGCAATTTTACTAATTTCACTATGTTCTTTTCAGCTGTGGTGTTTGATTCCCTTCTCTTTACTTAGATTAAAATTTAGTCTAACATGCAAGTTGTCCATGGCCAGTGTGAACCAGGTTTAAACACGACCACACGTGTACCTGGGTCAGAATGATAAACAGGTCTTGGGAAGTGGACAGGTTGGGAGGGTGGGGTGCGGGGGAAAGGTTGTGGAAACCCCATTCTTTGATTCATCATAGCGGTGTACATCGCTTGAGCATGCGCCTGAGCCATGGTCACATTCTGTGGAACAGGTGGAATGGGGGATTGCATGTACGGAGTCGACTGCAGTGGATATGGAGTCTGAAAAGGAAAAATGTTAATGAGTAAAAAAACTTTGCTAACATTTTAAAACCTTGCTCCTCCTGGGCTCGGTTGTTCAAAGGTGGGTTAGCGCGAACCCTGGGTTAAAATTTAACCCCCTGTTTTAGTTTGTATATTTCTGCACTTCTGCAGAGAAGTAAACTGCTATCGATCCAGACAAGATCTCTGAAGAAATATGGACATAATTTATAGACAAGCTGTCAGGAAGTTTGCTTTGAATTTTAGGTTAACCTAGGGTTAAGCTAACCCAGCTTTGAACCTGCCCCAGAAAATTTTGAAAATCACGCGTCCCAGATTGGCGGCTACAAATGCATTATATTTGTCATACAACTTTTGTTGCATCGTTCTTACAAACTTGAATACTTTGTCGTGGCTTAGGCATGTTTTTAAAACAATTAGACCAGTTTATGCTTCAATATTACTCTTTTAAAGTGGAAAATATAGCGAAACAACAAAAATGCCGAGAACTTTGGCAATACGCGTGACGTCACAGATTGCAACTAGGTTTAAACTGTGACGTCAGGAAGTTTCCTATCCAGTTATTTTACAATCCATGGTCTAATTATTTATACACTATCGCATTATTAAAATGGATGCACTTATAATTGCATTTCTGAACTCATATTCTGCTCATATTGCATTTCTGAGCTCACATCTTCCAGTGAAGGTAACATTCTTTCTATTGCCTACAATTTTCCTTGGAATTTCTCCTTTCTTTCCAGGGAAATATTTTCTGGGAACTCAAAATTTTCTGGGACCAATGGTCCCATGGTGTTTTTCCAACCGTTTTGGCCATTGCTATTTCTATAGGGGGTCAAGGAAATCTTTCATCAATACTTACCCTGATGTTCGAAGGAAATCCGGGCGGAGGTCTGATAAGTTTAGGAGGACCATTTACAAACGGATGCATGTTGAGAGGTAACTGGTTGATCTGAGGAGGAAAACCAATCTTCTCTAAGTCTTCAAGACGTATTGGTTTGGGAATTCTCTTGGGAAGCGCCGAGACTATTGCTTCATCCTTGAGTAACATGGTTAGACTTGGTTTAAAGATGTTGTAGGCTTACGTTGGTACCGTACATATTCTATTACTACAACATATCACAGCCATATAATTCCTTAGCATACCATTATATAATTTACAAAATGTCACACCACACCATACCATTGCATACCTGCATACAACACCACAACACAACCCACCGCACCATACCATATCAGACAACATATCATACCATACCATACCAAACACACCACACAAAAACCACACAGTACCTTACAACACACAATACCATACCATATACAACACACCATTCCATACAACACACCATACAATACAACATACCATACAACACACCATACCATACAACACACCATTCCATACAACACACCCTACCATACAACACACCATACCATACAACACACCATACCATACAACACACCATACCATACAACACACCATACAACACACCATACCATACAACACACCATACCATACAACACACCATTCCATACAACACACCATACCATACAACACACCATACCATACAACACACCATATCATACAACACACCATATCATACAACACACCATACCATACACCATACCATACCATACACCATACCATACAACACACCATACCATACAACACACCATACCATACAACACACCATACCATACACCATACCATACAACACACCATACCATACAACACACCATACCATACAACACACCATACCATACAACACACCATACCATACAACACACCATACCATACACCATACCATACCATACACCATACCATACAACACACCATACCATACAACACACCATACCATACAACACACCATACCATACAA